GGTTTTCTGTTTTTGGGGTGAATTCGAAACGACGGATTGATGAGGACTGCCGGAATCCTCGTGCATCTTTTTTTCATACGGCGTCAGGAATTTGTGGGAGGCTTCTTGGGTGTGTTTGTGGGACATTGGGGTAAAGGAAGGGTGGTTTTTTTTTCGGGGTTCAGGTGGGTACATTTATGCGTTGACTTCATTGTCATTTTTATGGAGAGATAAATTAAGGGGGTTGGTCTCGCCGGTTCTGTAAAAAAACAGACTCCGACAACCGACTGTTTTTTTGAGTCTTTAGACAGATCAACCTTATTCTATCAATTTCTATTTACGTATTCTCCGTATCGTCACTTTTTATCATCCTTTCGTGACAAATTGTTTTCAATTTTCAACTTAAATTGGTATTTTGATACGAAACAATAAAGTTAAATGTATCAACCTACAATTTTGAGGAACGATGGACAAAAGGTGAAAGTCTATTTTCACCCATTTCTTCCCTTCCATGGACAATTCTGTACCGAATTAGCTCGGCCCGATGAACATTCGAGTCGTTAGCCGCTATTTCCCCGAGAAAGATAACGTATCTCTGTCTATCCGAAAACCCAATCAAATTGTTTCCAATTTACCAGAACAGCCTGTTCAGCTTCTTTCATCAGACGATGGACCCGTCGTGATGTTATTTTTATGCAAATTCAACGCTGGTATCAGAGTGTGTCCTACCAATGGGAAGGTCCGATGTGATCGCGTTTAGAGGGCACACCCACCCCCCTTGTTCCCTCTCGAATTTCCGGTCACATCGTCGAGCAACGACGTTTTCGTTGCGTATCTCGCGGCAATCTCGGCCGTTAAAACGTAACGCCTGTCATTAAGCGAACCTCGTTTCTCTCCCCCCCCCCCCCCCGCAAAATCGGCCGAAAATGCGTCATAAAAACCATCCCCCCGATCACGAACGCCGACCTCCGGTATTTTCTGCTCCCTGGTTTTCGTCTCCCGATGATCGTTGACCTTAATCGACCTATTCCACGGCCAGGTCCACGTCACGTAAATAACTCACCCCATTAAAGCTGATTTCTTAAAACGGGAACCTTCCGCCACCTCGATCCCCGGCGAAGTAATTGAATCCTTAATATCGTGAACGCTCAGAGACCTTATATACAACGCCAACACGAAGAGGGAAAGGATAATGAAGTTATAAATTAGGGATTTAATTTTTTTTTTTCCGAGCCACTCACCGAATTTCGAATTATTTTCGTACGCGCCTGCTGTGCCGGCTGTACTTTACTGTTCGTACGGGAAAAATCCAACCCCAGGTGATAAACCGTACTCGAGCCACTTCGAACGATAATTACACAGTGTGACTCACGTGTTCGTTCATATACTTTCCAAACAGCAATTAAATGAATGTTGACGTTGATTGTGATTTTTACTTTTGTCATGATTTCGTGATAAATTTTACTTAATTTTGAAATAAGATTCCTAGTTTGTTACGTAATTCGGTAAATAAATACTACAGCCGTTCGTGAACGTATTTGTGAATCACCGTATATTCAAGTGTATACTTTTTTTTCTGTACGATGAAAGATCGTTTCTTTATTAGAGAAACGTAATGATCGTCTGGACGATCTCATAAGAGTAAAGAAATATATATTTCCGGAATCGTTTAGCGTGTACCATGGAAGAGAAAATAATTTACCCAAATTGGGGTCTCTACTTTGCGGAACCACTTTACTGATCACATCCCCGCCGAGGAAGCTTCTCGAGGATTAAGAGTCGGCGAAATAACGTCCTCGATCATTCGCTGAGCAAATAATACAGGTCCCTTCGCGTGTCTCTCTCGAGCGACGATCCAAGGCTTCCAAGATCTCTTCCGTGCGTCGTCGTCGCGGGGGAAACGTCTACGTCGGGCTAAATACCTCCGAGGACGAAATTTTCCGTAATTAGAGGGAAAACGGCCTCCTTTGATCTCCCCACGGCGTGGAAGCACCGCGAACGAGCAGAGAGAGATTGCCCCCCTCGTGACGATCGATCGGAATAATTGCACACCATCCGAAATTTCCATAACGCGAATGGGAAGGACGGAGCTTTTCTTAGAACTCGCAGAAACGCAATTTCTGGCACATTCGCTGTCTTGCATGACGAACTTCATTTTTCACAATTTTTTCACGAAAAGCACCTGCCTATTGTGGAAAAAAAAAACGAGACGCAGATAACCAGGACGAAATCATCTGCAAGAAAGAAACCATCGACCGACGATTCGTTTGGCCGGTTTCAACCCCTTCTCGCGTGACCCCGCAATTCCATCCGGAAGGCTTCCGTTTCCGAAAGTTAATCCCCACGCGTGAAACTCGAGACGTTTTCCATAGGCTTGAAGGGATATCCCTGTGTGGATCGATCGTAGGGAATAATCGTAAAGAAGGGCGGAAGGAAAGAAGCAGAAGACAACGAGGGGTGGCGAACGAAGACCTGTGTACAAGGGGGGTGGTGAGAGCCTCGAAAACTGCGAGTTTCACCTGATAAACGTAACTTCTGATACAGGCCCCTCTCCCTTTATTCTGTCCTCCATAGTCCCTCGTTTCTCTCTAAGCTCGCAGCCAAGTTTTTCACGATCCTCGCCGCCCCTAGGATTTTCAACAACCCCCTGTGTGTTACAGGCGCGAGGCACCCTCGTGGCACGGTCCATTCGCGACCTCTTTAATTCCCGAATCGAATAAGAATTCATTAGAGGACACAGAAGGGCGTGGGAGGAAGAGGGCAACGAAACGGGCGGGGGTTTTAAATAAATTAAAAGTTTACTTTTTCAACGGCGAGTACCGTGGGGCTGGCCTCCTTGGGAGGAATCGAACTCTCACTCTCTTTCAAACTTTTCTCTCTAATTACTCAGAAAGGAGGGAGGCTCGAAGTTTCGGAAATCTATTCACTGCTTCCTGGGGGAAATTCGAACGCCGGGAGACTTGGATGGTGCGAGTTTTACGTGAAACAGGACGAGTTCTTCGCGACAGGAAATTTTCGAGACTATTCAAATGTTCGTTTTGGATTCTTCGCTTGGATTCTACCTAGAAATACAATATCGATTGCCGTACAAATTGATACAGGTGCTATGACAGTAGCAAGGATATTGGAAAGGAATCGACAAAGTAAAATTGCTTCCTTTTTCACTTCTAACTGCAAAAGTAAACTGCTCGTGAACTGAAAACAAAAGACGGACATTTCATTAATTCTTATTATTATGTCTCATGTCAATTCTATTTAATTATTTGTTGTATCTGTGAGCCGGAACGTTTTCAATCTTCAATTAAATTAACCTCGTCAAACACAGGGAATGTAAATTTCCATATCCTCATGACAAATATACTTGTCATTCACAGCTAACAGGTTAAATTGAATTAAATTAGAATTCATATGCTATTCCCTAAGAGTTTCCAAGAATTATATAATCTCTACCAAGCAATCGACCAGTGCGTACGACACTCGATCATCTCCAGGTAAATATCCTCGAATCATCAACTCTTGAAAATATCTCGAGAACGGTAACAAGCTTATTACGCCATCTGAAAATACCAGAATCCTCCCCCCGACGAAACGCCCGACCGACAAGAGTCTTTTCGCCGCCTTATTCCGCCGGTATCCCATTTACTTCAAGAGCGATCTAGTAATTGGCTCGGGCGGGACGCTCGTCGATCTTTATATTCCCAGTGCCGGAGCTAGGCAGCGGACAAATATTTTCTTGTAATATCCCGTGGCTTGACCAGACGATGCTGGGGCTCCGTCGTTCCCTTTGAAGACCGTGAAAATTCAGTAGAGAACCGTTCCGAAATCGTCAGACACGACGGAACATCCATTCGACAGTTTCACCGTCGACGCTACCCAACCACCAGGCAATACTGCTAATACATTTGTCGATTTATATACACAGGGTGGTCCACGCAACTTGCATACGTTAAATAATTTCTTGATTAATAATGGGCACAGTACCTTTTCAAGAAACGAGGTGAAAGTATACGTTTAGGTTTAGAGCTAATAAAAGTTAATACTTTTTTACTCTGAATTCAACACTTCGATATTTTGGCATACAAAATATAGCATTCTATATAAAGTAACGAAGTTAACCTTGAAATCTTTAAAAAGAAATTATATGCAGTGCATAATGTATCCCTCCAGAACATGCAACTTTTGAATAAAATACTTTTTTTCAGAGAATACATAATTTAGAAAGTATTTGCGATGTGCAAGTTTCGTGAACCACCTTGTATATAACGTACTTCTCGCTCCCGTATATTAAGCAGTAACGGAGCTTTTTACGCGGCGAGATCAAAGTCGAGCATACCGAGCTCCCATCTATCCTCTCTCATTTTCGGCGTGGCCTTCGACCCCACAAAATTCGAGCCAACCCTACGAAAATTCGTCCACCTGTACACGCGTCTAGCCCGCTGGATGATCGAACCGGAGTGTCCGAGGGCTGGACACGAAAGGGTTGAAATCGTTACAATTTACGAGGAACGATTTTACCCGAATGAGGAAGTTCGCCGGGGTTTATTTTTCCTTGATACGCAGCTCTCGACGGATTAAAGTGGAAATATAGTGGAGGACGAGTAATTTCTGGTAGCCTTTTATACACCGATCCCTTTGATTATCTTTAATAAAAGAATTTAACAATTTCGTATAGATCCTATAGAATTAATAAACAGATAAAATTACAGTCGAGAAATTCAACTGTTCCCTCCAAAATTACATAAAAAAAGAAAAAAATGGAAACAAAATAGATCAGATTAATATCGATATTTTTGACTTTTAAATGCCAGGATATAACATATATATATATCAGTCTCATAATTATGAAATAACGATTTAAGAGGGGTTAAAGGGTTAAGCAAACATTTTTCACAAAAAAATTGGACAGACCAATGTTGCAACCAATAGTCCGACTTTCGATGGAACTGTGTTTACCAAGAGGAGTGGTGCGACAGGTGTTCGTTACTTACTCTCCTGAATATCTGAACACTATCGTGTTACGTTTACAATAGACCACGAAGAAGCGTGAGCAGTAGCACAGATGTGACGGCTGACACCTGTTTTGCCCCCGAATCCTTCGGTGTAAGCAACGACGATACAGGCGCCTTCATGTTAGCGAGAATCCACTTCTCGAAGAAGAACACGTCCGAGTAAACGCCAGGCACAGACGGAAGTGCGCAGCCTGACCCGCCGGAAACGATGCCGGTTAAGACACCTTTGCAGATCATTCCACCGCCAGAATCGCCCTGTACAATTTTCGAACCACAAACATTTCGTTCTGAATCATAAAACAATTAATTTCGTTCAAGAAATATACCGATTCGTGTATTAATCGATACCTGACAGGCGTCCCTCTGGCCCTCGTAGTAACCAGAACAGTACATGCCCGGAAGCATACTGGTCACGTTTACCAGAAGCCTTCTGCACTCCTTGATGTCGACGATCGGTAAGTCTACGTACATAAGATCGTTGGTTGGCACGGGAAAATCCTAATCACAGAATTCGAAAAGGAAGAATTAAAGACTCTGGTACAGCGAAGTACCTGGCCACTGACGATTAATAATTATTACAGTAAGAATAATTCATTAACAGTGTTCAATTCAAGGTGTACTGTTCAAATTCAACTCCACAAATATGCAGTATCGCTCGTAAATATCAAGACAACTGATCTGTACGAAGGAAAAATGATGTTTTGTAAGAATTATAAATAATTTCGGACCACGTTTGTTACTTCTTGAAGATAGACGTACTGCTACTGATATTACTTTTCTGTATAAAATTATTAACAGTTTAGTAGATTGTCCTACCCTCCAAAATTAAATAATTTTCAAAGTATCCTCTCATGCAGCCAGGCATTCCAATCTATTCTACCCTACTCCCTACACATCCAGGTACAGTCACACCGATATAATAGCCAGAATACGCAACGTGACAAACAAGTGTAACGACCAAATTGAATTTTTCTCAGAATCAATTAATAAGATCAAAACTTCCATCTTCAGATACTGCGAGAATAACATGTATACTTATTAAAACTACTACACATAATATACTGCGATGATATTGTTAAACTTTTGTATAAAACGGTTCTTCCCGTTTATGGTAATAAATTAAATTAAATATCCTCTAAACGATATTCATTTTACACTTTCAGTAATTTCCTAATGCCTTGTAACATTTACTGCCTATTCGATAGGTGTCCTAATACTTGGGATGCGGGAGTGTAAATATGTACACACTGTCAATGTGCAATAAAAAAAATTGACTAAACTCTATGTGAGGTTACGCAGTCTACTATTACTCTCGAATTAGTGAATGGACTCACGTTCGCCGGATAGCCCCAACCAGCCACCTGGCAGATCGAGTTAGGTGTCGGGGAACGAATCGCAAGGGGCGCGACGTTGATCTCTTGTGTCAGCTTGAACGGCACCTTGAGCTACGTTAACGTAATAAATTATTGAAATATTAGTCCACGTAAGTATCAGCTAAATAGGGTGGGGGGCAGAGAACACACCTCGAGTAGAGCGACATCGTTCTGTAATGTATTGAGTTTGAATTCAGGGTGAACGTAAATGTTCTCGACACCTCTTCTCTGTCCTGTGGACGCCTGTTGATTGAGCTGCAGCTCGCCAGCCACCACCATAATCGTCCACGGCTGTATAAGACCGCCGTTCCTGCAGTCATAAATGCTTAATTAATGACAGAGTAAACGGCCGACAGTAAATCCCCCCGTGAAGGAATTCCGAAGTATCCGCCGGGCATTAATTTTAAATTAATCTTATCCTCCTTTCACGAATCACCTTATCTACCCCCCTTCCCGCAAACACTCCATTTTTCTCTAGTACCAACGATAAAAAATAAGACTGATACTCTATAAAGGTAAACGATTGAAATTTTAATACTTGTCAAATTAGGTAAGTATTAAACGGACTCACAGAAACATACAATGACCGGCTGTTAAGATGTAGTATTCATTGATCAGAGAACCACCGCAAAAGTGTCGTGAATTGTAACTGCGTCTTATGGAGACCTGGAATCAGACGAACCAACCGATCATTTATAGCAAACTATTCCCGTGAAGCAACTACGCGTTCCGGGAAACTTCACCTGGTAAGGGAACTGTCTTAAAGCTGCCTTTGTTCCATTCACTATACGACCGGTTAGGCCGAAGTTCGTCCACTCTACATCTTCCTCGAGGACCAAAGGATCTTGGGTGTCCGCTAAAATGAGACAATATTTTATTCGCATCTGATTCGATTGATTTAATCGCTCAATTATGCAATCGTTACATGGAAAATTCAAGTTCTCCGGGAAATTCGATTTTATCTTGTCTCTCTAGACTGAATACCGATCTGGATCGAGTTATCTAGAATCTAGAATATTCTCGATGGATCTCGATCAACGGACTCGCAGCGCATCGATCGATTTTCGGTAATTTTTCGTAAGTTCGGACTCACCGTGAACTATTAAAGAGACCAGGAACGCTGTCGCGATAGCGAAACGCGCCAACATTATCCTATTTTGCTTGTTCTTCCCTTTATCAGTGCTCGTCACCGTCACGATCATACCACCTCGGCACAAAACACCAAACTGACCGCGACGCGGCCACAATGAATCGGAAAGCTCCTTATCAGGTAGATATTTATCGCACCTTGATACCTGCTATCGCTTAGTGTCTAGTCTATTGTACTTCGGTTAGGTACACGTTCGAAAGAATATTCGTGGACATAATTTTGGCACTATTGTTCCCTTATGGTATATTTTTTATCGTTGGTGCTAGAGAAAAATGGAGTGTTTGCGGGAAGGGGGGTAGATAAGGTGATATTGTTCCACCTTTTAACCCTGATCTGTCCCTCATTCTCCCCACTTAATTTGTCCCTAGGGGTAAAATTCACCCAGTGGTAAAAATTAATACAATGAAATTTGCAAATTCTTTAGAATAAAAATTACAGAGCCTAAATTTACCTACACATGACAGAATAACGACATTTCTTATGAGAAAACTGTGTAAAATTGACACAAGGGATGGATGAAGGTTAATCGGACCCTTTGTCGTAGGAACAACGAAGAATCAAAGTCCACGAAGACATCCTGTATCAACCTCGATCGTATTAATAGAACCTGTGTGATCTTTGGAATAATTATTTTGCAATAATATTGATTAGAAAAACCGATCTAGATAAAAATCACAAGAGTCTGATTAGCAGAATCGTTGGTTAATGGACACAAATCGCGTCGAACGATGAGAGCAGCGAGATAACCGGCAAGGTAGCTGTGATCGATCCACTGATCGAGGGTAACGATTCCGTCGATAAGTCTCGAATATCTGTACGGTAATTTCTTTTATCTGGTCATTGGGAAACCAGGTGACCCGGTTATATTCCGAACCTGGTACACACTTCTGCCACCTTCGTTCTCCAGATAAACAAGCGAAAGCTTTCTGAACACGTTGGCGACCGATTTTCGACCTGTTCGTCGCTCGCAGAATATAGGATCGATGATTCGAATCCCCTGGCCATTAATCCGTTCATTGCCAAATTATTCAGAAATTACCAAAGAAATATTGTGCTGTATTTTTATGTATATTACACGACATATGTATATAAATGATTCCCAAGAACATATTAATATTCTGAAACCGTTTCACTGCCATTTCTCATTCGTTTCCATTTGACAACATTTTCACCTTTATCACAGTGGTATCTGATAATTCTCATTGCAATATTATTATACAGAATAAAATACAAACTCTCTTGAAATATTTAAAAGAAATTCAAAATTTTTTACGTTTCCATTGTAGTTCTTAGAATGATCGGTATACTCGGAGTCCATCGAATGAGACGAATGACCAATAATGTGTTATTTTACAGATAAGCTTCTGAATGCAGATTCGAATTTGGGTCATACCATCTACACAGTACCAGAAGAAATTATTACATACTCACAGATATAAAACATACATGACATAAATATTATATTTCGTAATTTAACATATCCAGACATATGGCAACATCGGGAACGAAAGGGTTAAACACAGCGCCCGTTAATAAGAGTCGTGTATCATTAACAGTCTCGTTAACTTCTAACCGAAGGCAATTCGAAACGCGCGGGCGCGCGTCGTCCCGTATTAATCGAGTCGATTAATAAATTCCCGCTCTTTCGCTCGGAGCTCTCGAAAACTCGGGTCATCCCGCGATCGATCATCGATCGCTGGACCGAGAATCACGTGATTAACGATGCCACGACGCGGCGGCGCGTTACGAAAGGTTGCAAAGAATCTCCGGCGTGAATTAGCGCCGAGGATGGAACAGGACCGATCGATCTTGGCTCTCGCGCGAATCCAATACCTGTTCTGCGCGATGAATTTCATCAAGGAAACCGGTACAACGTCGCCGATATTAAAGGGCAAATTAATTGCTGGATATGTAAATATCCAGCGACCATTGGGGCAAAAATGAAGCTTGTTCTTCAGCTTGAATATTCATCGATCGTCCTTCGTTTCCTTCGTATCGGTAACGAGGAAAACGATGGCTTTGAGATCGTTTCTTTAAATCGGCAATTATCACTCTACCCACGGGACTGGCATGTTCGTAGGGACAAACGAATTAACCCTTTATCGTTCAGATACTTAAATCGTTACTTGAAAATTATGAGACTGATATACAGGGTGAACCACGAATCGTGATCAGTAGAGATTACTCTGTTATTGGCAGTCTGATCGAAAATTTTTTTATCAGGTACAGCACGGTTTCAAGACAGCTTTAACGTGATTATAGCAAATTTTTTGTCAACTCTTTTTTTTCATGATTTTTCAAGGACACCTTCAATTTTTTGCAAATACACGTATAATTTTTTTACGCCTATCTGTTAGAGGATTTCAAGACGAATTCGGCAAGTATCATAACATAACATGTGTTACTTTTTTTTTTAATTGAATTTTTGAAAGAAAATTGAAAGTGACCTTCACGTTAATTATTACGCAGTCGGAAATGACGATATTAAAAACGAACCAAGTATGCCTTGAACGAAATCGTGTTGAGAAATAATGGTCCTCCAGAAAAGGATAGTTTATATTCCCTAAAAAGAAGTAGTTGGTTTTCATTTTCACCACAGTACGTAAGAATTGAAAATTTCAAGTTGGTTTTATAGTTATGCCATATAGTGTAGACCGATGTAGACGGATCTCGAAAACGATTATTCGTCCCAGGTATTCCCTGCGATCTAATTTAATTGGACGATGATTTTCCTGTTGCAACATCTCTTACGAGTTCCAACCGTCTGGCCTTTCATCTCTCCCGTTCCAAAGGTTCGTTGGAGCCTCCCACGTTTCCCACGAGTCGATAAACAAAGCGTACGTGGCGGCGTAAACAAGCCATCGTACAATATTTCCACGGTCCCCGGCGACGTCTGCACCGCAAACACCAATCCAGACGAGTAAATTCGCTTCGCCGGTGTCCCCCAAACAGTCCACTGGTCCCGAGCACGATGGAAATCCACACACGGCTCTCGAGATTTCGAGCTTCCATGAAAAATAAAATACACTCCGAAGGCTTCCTTTTTCGCAGTGGAAAATCTATTTCGTTCCGCTGTCGCGCGAAAAACGGGCTTAGCATAAATTGGACGGTCGATTACATCTAAAATCGATCGGTTGATCGCAAGGAGAGGGAATATTTCGTAGCTGTTCGGAATGTACGATGAAAAAATTAATCCTACAAACAACTGACAGATCGCTCTTAGAGAAGAAATATTTCAAAGGTGCTTTACCAAACAATATAATTCGTCCCATTGTCGCGTTAAAACGCTCGGATAAGGCGGTCGATGATACCTAAAATCGTTTAGAAACATTAATCCTACGGATAACTGACTGATCTCACAGAGGAAACATTTCGAAGTTGGACCGATGGAACGCGACTGTTATTGCTCTCGAGCAACGAACGACCCCGGAGGCTCTCGACTGTTGCCCACGCAGGGAATGTGTATAGACAGGGGTTGCACGGGCTTGTACACGGGGCTGCGCGAACACGAGGATGGGTAATGGTGGCCCCTATCAGCTCTGTACACTCTCTCTTCCACTCCCGAGCTCGCCCGTGCTCGCAGCCGGCCCTCGAAAGCCCCCGTCAGAAGCAACGATATTCGAGGTGAGTTACGTCGATGGTACCTGAAACGCCCGCTGCCCAACCACCACTTTGCATATTGGATGCTCGTTCGACTAGCTATTTCGCCGTCTTCGACGGATCCTCCCGACGGGAAACCTGAAATCCTGGCTACCGATTTGGGAGAGAAACCTGTGCGAGATTTGTCGTTTAGACAGGTATACTCGATTTGATTGATCAAGTGGGAGGTGAAAGGATTTTGGATCAGGCTTGTTAGACTTTGTTTCAGAAGCTGATTACAGTAAATGGTAATTCATCATTACGGAGCTGTAGAGGGTTAAATTTCCAAGAATTCATCGACTAAGTCAATATGCTCGAATAAGGTCTGTGAAATATACAACATTTAACAGTAGGTGACATCTTTTTATGATAAATCCTAATTATCACTGTGTACTATTTAACGTTACAATCACTGTTTACATAAGGAAAACCTTTTCTATTAGTCTCCCATGAGTCTACACCATCAGATACTATAATTAAAGCCTCTATATTAACCCTTTACACTCGACTGTCGCCTCCGAAGGGACAAAATGTATGGAAAATTATAAATTCCGAGTTGCAAAGGGTCTAACTAAACTTCGACAAGTTGTCTCGATGACACCGGGTCGATAATCAGAAACCAGAAATCCCACGCGGTTCCTATTAGCTATCCAAGTCGATCCCACCGTCTCCGTTTCTCCACGGCTCCTTCCGCAACCGTCTCACTCCTTCCAGGCGCCGTTTCTCCGGATCGAAGACGTGCCACCTCCGCTCGGTTTCTTCCAGCCGGATCGCGGAATCATTCTCGATGGTACCGAGGATAATGTTTACGGGATGTAATGATAAGGAATACCGCCCCGGACCGGTCGATCCGTACCTCCTACCCAGTTCTCGTTCCCCTCGTCGCCAGGTTTATTCAGTCACGGGTTGCCAAAGAACCGACGCGTTGTGCGTGACGACGCGACACGCAGTCATCGATTCCGTGAGACACCGCCACGGAAATTATTCGCGGGTAAATCACTGCGTAATCTGATCCGGCTATCTACCTCACCGTGGCAGCAGAACGACGGTGACCACGACGGTATGATTGCCATTTGCTACTGCCACGGTGGAAACCCTGACGGCGATTCCTTGTTCGGAAGAAATGATTTATTTTTCTGGATATACACGACCACTGCGTGTCCCACGGTTTGACAGGTTCGCCCTGATCGTTAGGCGATCGGTTGACGAGGATTCACTTGCGACGATCCCTCAGAAAATGTGGTAGTTCGTTTTAAGTACACGTATTTATGTCTGAGATGAAATCTTGTGGAATTGGTGTACATTTTGTAACTGCTATAGTTTTTGTATATTTTTGCTGGTGGTGCACCACGGATTTTTGGAAATGCTGATGGTAAGAATAGACTGAGAAAAACTGACATACACTATCGTGTA